TGGGAGGTGGGATGGGGTGGAGATGACTGGCTTTCCCTACTCTGAGGAGGGTGCCATCACATCGATCGCTTTGGGTCCGTTGTCCTCCGAGAGGTGGGAACCGTTCCTTCTAGTCCTCTCCTTTACACGCGTCAGGGAGAAGAAAAAAGGACGACGAAAGAGAAAGAAAACACACACACACAAAGCCACAGCCGTTATCTGGTGTAGTCAAAGATGGGCTGTCTTGAGGCAACAACGGTCAGTCCCCCAACCCTGCCTGCGGCTGAAGGACAGACTGGAGGTACCTGTATTGGGGCAAACCTTGGACAGCAGCTTTGGGTTTGAAAATTGCCACCAATGCAAAAGCTGGCAAAGTCCCTGGACGCTATGAGATGCCATCCCTGGGCCTCGGTCACACTTGGCTGAGGGGCCTGCTGAGGCACTGGTGGGTCTGGGGAGCATTAGGAAGGACCAGGGCCAGGACCAAGTTCCAACTAGCACTCTTTCTCTATATTCCTGTGAAGTAGAAAAAAACACGGCAACAATGATGCCCTGGGCCTGCCTTTCTTTTCTGGGACAAAGGTGTGTGGCCATAGAGGAGCCAGGCCAGCCCTTCCATCATTGTCATGAATGAAGGAGAACCCACATCTGACCTAGGGCTTGAGGCACAGAGGGGTGGGACAATGATTGTCAGGCTATCCCTGGAAATTGAAGACTCTCCAGTCTCTTGGCTTTATGGAAGAAGCAGGGACCAGGGAGGCTTTCCGGGGCAGGGGACTGAGCACCAGGCTCCTCCTCACCATGGAGATGCAGCCACATTTCTCCTTCTGAAAAAGCCAGCTCAGGAAATGCAGCATCACTGGACAAGAGCATGGAATGGGGTAGAAGTGAATCTGGGGAAGGGGAAGCCCAGGATGGGCCCAAGAACTGAAGTCCCTATTCCTATGTGAACTGGGTAAAAGGAATCAATGATGAGCCTAACTATCCTTCAGACCTTCCAGAAAGATAAGAGCATCTGGTTTGGCCAGGAGAGGCTGGGGCTGCCCAAACAAAGACCCTGGGTGGTCAGGACCAAGAATCAGAGACTAGGCTACTTTCTGTGTTCCTAGGAATTCCTCCTGGAGCATGGTACAGGGCAGAGGCTGGATCCCTCATGAAGGAGCCCAGAAAACAAGAGTATCTTCTGGAGAACTCTCTCCTTATGTGTGTGGAGAAACTGAAGTCCAGAGCTGCCTCTTGGGGGAGAAAATTTTAGGCAAGTGCAAGAAATTGGCCGGTGAGCCTTGTTTGGTCCATTCAGCCCCCTTTGTGTCCCATGTTCCTTTGACATTCTAGTGCATTGTCATCTATTTGGCCATGTCCAACTGCTCAAGGGCAGCTGGGAAAATGGAGACTCTTCCAACCCTAAGCCACAATGCACACCACCTTGATCTCTTTCAATGCCTCCTGGTGTTGCGGGTGGTGGTGGGGTTCCACCTCTCCAAGCTCTTAGCCCACTATAGCTGCCTTCCTTCTCTGCAGAGTGTGCTCCACTTTAGTCTGGAGGTCTAGCCAGGGCAAGGAGAATCCTCCCAATCTGGATTTAGAGCAACTCTTGAAAACTGCAAGGGAGGGCCCAGCTTTCCCCAGCTCTGCTAACAGAAAACAGATTACTGATTCTGGGTGCAAGCAGGAGGTGCAGTGAAACAGTGGAGGGGAAGCTGGTGCACCCTGCCCTGCTGTATGTCATGGCCATAGGTGCACAGTGAGTTGGGTTTCCAGGAGGGTCTGCTGGTTCTGGACACTTGGTCCTGAGGAGCTATATCCCTGGATCCTTTCCCATGGAGGGAGGCATCTGGAACTGCATCACACTTTTTAATCTGACATGGGCCTGGTGCCTTGAGCCACCTACCTGTCCCCAAGGCCCGAGAAGGCTCTGGGCAAAGTTCCCCTTGAGCAACCCTGATAGCTCAAGGGCCCTGAGTCCTGGGCCCCTGGCCCATCCGCGTCTATGCTCCACACTGCTCCCACTGCGAAGCGGGGCTGCAGGCTCTGCACTCGAGCTGACCTTGGATTAGAGAACTGTTAGGCCAGTCCCGCCTCCCAAGCGTAGGCTGGCAGGGCAAAAGGTGGAGTGGACAGACAGACAGTGGACAAACAGTGGACAGGAGATGGCTGGCTGAGTGTAACTACATTCATTGGGGCAACCCATCGGAGGAACAAGGACAGGTACTCACGGTTGCAGACTTCACAGCATGTGGGGACAAACTCAAGGAAGGCGTGGCTAGGGGTGGAATTTGGTATGGCCACTTGGCACTAGATCCCCCAAAATATACAGATAAATCACTTTCACCCAGGAGACCTAGTGGGCCTCCACCAGATGTAATTACACCCAGACAGGTGCACAGAGCGGGCCGAGGACATAGAGTGCAAAAGGGGCCCCTACTTGTATTCCTATAGATGACAGTTTCCTTTTGGGGATGGCCTCAGGGTGGGATTCGGAGCTGGTGAGTGTCCCTTGTTCACTCTTCAGAGCTGCATGTTTTGGGGGTGGTTCTAGAGCCTCAGAGGCTGGGGTGACTCCGCCTCGTGTCACACTGGGTGGTCGGGTACTGCTGTCCAGGCTGTCTGACGAGTTGCTCAGGCCCGACTGGCTTGTCACCTCACTCTTGTGGTCCTGGCTGTCCAGGTAGGTATCCTGGGCAGACTCAGTACTGCTCTGGACCGTGACTGAGATGAACGGCTTTGACGTGGTACGTGGAGGGACCGGTGGTGGGGTCTTCTTATACGCCACTAGGCATGATGAACCTGCAGATGGGTGAGAGGAGGGTAGGCAAGAAGGTAAGGTCAACCCAACTCTCCTAAGGCCCTTTCAAGTCTGAAGCCCTACCTGACCTGGCCCTAGCTCTGGCCTCAGTGGTTGCCTCAGCAAGGATTTCTGGAGCAGGAGAATGAGGGTCAGACACAGCAATGACCAAGACAGACAGACACAGGCCCTGGCCACCCTCATACTAGGCCAAGGCCAAATCTAGTAGGGGAAGCCAACATGAACCAAAGACATTCTCCATCTCATAGTCACAAAGGTATTATCCAGCTGGGGCATAGGCTAGGAGTTGAAGTTCATGGTGCCACAGGTTGTGAAAGCCTGACTTATGACAGGGGAGGCAGTGACAGCACAGTGGAGGTCAGGACAGCTAAGGAATGGTTGACCTTGCTTTTCCTCAGGCTCACTGAGAGACCTACTGCTCCCCGCTACTGCTCCTTTCCTTCCATTCTACCTTCCTTCTACCCCTGTTCCCTCTACTTAGATGCCTCCTCTATGTCTAATCAAGGACCAACATATCCCTCAGGGCCCAGCTAACCTTTCCCCCATCTTGTCATTCCCACCCCACCTCTTCTCGTTATGTGAAAACCCCATACACCAGTCTGCCTCCCTTAAGACTCCATCACATCAGGTCTGACTCTCCATCCTCCACGAAGACTCAGGGAACCGGGACCTGACATGGGTGGAAACTGAGGTAATCTCTGAACTCCATTCCCAGTGTGTCCTAGGGTTGGCTCACAGCAGGGGCACAGAACACCAAAAGCCTACAGCTGGCTTCTTAATGCTGAACTTTTTGTCCAAAATGGAAGGTGCTTTTCAAACAGAAGTAGCTACTTGCTGTAAGGGGCTGGGTTAGATCCAGTGGTTTTTCTCTGCATCTTAACTCCAACTGCCCTTTTCCCAGGGAGGACTGGAACAAGCCTCTCCCTGAGTCTGGGCCAAGGCTGGAAGCAGGAGCCAGATGAGTGAGGGTATGCCCTGCCTTCAAGGGGCTACCAATTATGGAGAGGTTGATGGCTCAATGGAAACCCACAAAATGAGGCCAGGTGCCACAGGGGCTATGGACAAGGCACAGAATCTATCCATTTATCACTATGAGTTATCACTAAACAAACCTAACAGAATGGCTAAAATAAAAAATGGTGACAACACCAAATGCTGGTGACGATATAGAAAAACTGAATAACGTATACTGCTGATGGAAATGCAAAATGATATAATGACCGTGGAAAACAGTTTGGCAGTTTCTGTTAAAAACTAAACATGCAATTACCATACAGCCCAGCAATTTACTCTCGGGCATTTATTCCATAGAAATGGTAAAATGTTCACAAAAACATAAATGTTGATGGCAGCTTTGTTTGTAATCACCAAAAACTGGAAACAACCTAGATGTTCTTCAGTGGATGAACAACAGTTAACAAACTGTGGTACATCCAGACTATGGAATCTACTCAGCAATAAAAAGAAATGAACTACTGATATAAGCAACAAGTGAATGATACTGAGTGAAAAAACAATCTCAGAAAGTTATGTACTGTATGATTCTATTTTTAAAAAAACATTCTTGAAATCAATTATAGAGATGGGGAACAAAATGGTGGTTGGTGGGAGGCAGAGGGGAAGGTGATGGGGAGGAAGGGAGGGATGTGAGTGTGGTTATAAGGTAACAAGGGGAATCCTTATGTGTGCTAATTGATAGAACTGTTGTATCCTGACTGTGTATACATGAACTTACACATGTGATAAAACTGCAAAAGACTATACTCAGTGATTATACAGGCTGTATCATAGGGGTTAAGGCTCAGACAGGCCCAGGGCTGGCATGGCTCCTACTGGTTTCTGGTACAGGGGTGGGAGTCAAAATTTTACCACTCCCCAGCCACTGGTAGAGAGGATGGGCTGGTTCTCTGGCTAGCTGAGGGGCAGTTTCCCAAGAGCTGGACATTTAGAGCAGCCCACTGAAGCCAGGATTCATTGGGGATTTTAGGAATTGATCTGTTTGGCCTAAATATCCTCAAGGATACAGGGCCTCACTGACATTTTCTACCCTAGCTCAGAAAAGGGAAGCTCTAATCTGTTCAAAAATGTTTATACGGGGAATATCCACCTGGGCTCTACGCCTGGCTAAGGCAGTGTCTCTGTGGGGTGGGGCTGACACTGGCCTGAAGGAGTCTGTGTGTGAAAGATCTGTGTGAAAGAAGCAACACCCCCACCCCAGGAGACAATGGGTTTGCCCACAGTCTGGGGTCTGAACTGAGGACTAACGTTCCAAACTCACTCTCAGGGTTGTCTAGGCCTAGAGTCCTGCTGATTATTCTCGGAGGCTCTGAGCCCTGGCTGAGGCAGCCACTCAGATGGAAAATAAACTAGCAAGAGGCCAGGCCAGATGGCCAACTGTGATAAGAGGACAAGTGAACTTATCTTGGATTCTCTGTCTCCTGGGGCACAGGTCCCAGCAGATAAGCAGTGTGACTAACAGAGAGGATTTTGGAGCCTCATGGGCTCCCAGGTAGCAGGCATCCCTCAACTCTGAGCACAGTGCCCCCAGCAGGGGGATGGGACTTGACTGCATAGGACACCTCTCATTTTACATGTGTGAAATGCTAGTTAACACATGCTAGTCACCTACCCAGCACCTTCCAACATCGCACTCCAGCCACTGTTTCCCATACCCATCACACTTCCTGTGAACTTTATACATGTTGTTCTTTCTGCCTGGACAGCTTCTCTCACTGCATGTTGCAAATGCCACATCCTCAAAGAGGCCTCCTCTGACTGCCCTCTACTCTCATATCACTCAGGATCTCCATCAGAGCACCTATCACATTTGTCTTAGTTCTTTTAGGGATTTACTTGATGGTTAGAGGCCTGGGGCAGTTGGAGGAACTCTGTCTGTCTTGGCACAGCAGGTCGTATCTCAGGACTAGGGTAATACTTCAAGCACAGAAAGCTCTAAGTAAATATTCAATGAATGATAAAATGAACCTCATCATTGATACAAATCCTGTACCTGGTCCCCCGCCCCCATCACAATTATTTAGCCAGGCTTCCAACACTTTAGTATCCAAGATTCTAGCCCCATCCCAAATTTGGAATCCTTTTGACTTGGTCCCACTAACCCAGCTGTGAAGTTTCATCTTCTGCCCTCCCGCTACCCAGCATGTTCTTGCAGTGTCAGAGACCCAAATGCACTTTCCCAAACACACCTCACTCTTCATGCACCCAAGCCTTTGCACATGCACTTGTTTCTGCCAGAATCCCATTTCGTGCCCTCCCTGATTCTCATCCTCCAGCCAGTCTCTTCACCCCCCCATTCTTTCTGACCTAGGCAGAGTCTGCCGCTCTCCTTTCTCTGTGGATCAGCTGGAGCATTCAGGTCTGTGGCCATGATTCCAACTAAGATTGTGTCCATGTGTGTCGATGGCCCAGTGCCCAGCCCAGAGAGTACGCAACCATTATTTGCCAATTAAACTTTAGAGGGAAGTAAGTGCCCCAGAGACCCAAGATGTTGGACTTGGCCAGCCTACACATCCAGCATGCTACTGTGGCCCTCCACGCCCTAGGGAGACATTCTGTGTGCCACAATTAACCCCGTGGCATATGGGGCCAACTCTTTGTCCACTGACCCTGGAAGACTTTCAGATTTGCCTTGGAAGCCTAGAGGTGAGCATCCCTCCAATGTGACTATCTCCTTCAGCTGGTCCTTGTGCATATTTTCAAAGATCTTGAGTGAAGCACAGCAGCATGTGCACACTAAAACCACCCATCCACCCACCCAAGGAGCCACATGCTTCCCTGCCCTCATCTTGGCCATGCCAGTCCCTCATGCCAAGGCTCAGACAGAAGCCAGTTGTGCGACGCCTCCTCCATGCAGCCTATCCTGGCCCCAGACATCTAACCCAGACTCCCTGTCCCACATCGCACATGTCTTTGTTTCTTCTAAAGTAGAAGCTCCCTTTGTCTCATTTCTGCCTTTTGCCCCAAGATTTTATCCAGCAAACTCTATTAGGTCAGAATGAATTTGTTTCTGCACTTTGTTTTCAGATGTTCAGAAGAGTGGCTATGACTTCATCTCCTGAGAGATTTGGAGGACACAGCAACTCCAGGAAGCTAGCCCCCTGTAAGTGCCTTGGAGGCCAAGATGGACTTGGTCCTTAGGCCCAGCATAGCCCTTGTGCTTGCAGGCTCCCAGGGGCCTGAGCTGAGCAGGGGGACTGAAGAAGATGCCTAGAATAGGAATGGATTCAGGGGACTACAGACAGTGTAGGTGCCATGGCAGCAGACTTTACAAAAGAGGCAGTAGGGCCCATTCAAGGCCCCACATGAAGGGACAGAGCTGGACTCAGAGCCAGAACCCCCTAAACTCTCTTTGCTGCCTCTGTCAAGCTTAGGAATAGGCTTGTCAGAGGAGGGGCCGAGGACCTATAAGATACCATTCCCTCTCTCACTGTGTACCCTGTCAAACCACACAGCTAAATCGAGCAACCCATTCGTGTATGGTACAAACAGAACTCAAGTCTCCCACCCACCCAGCTTCAAATTCCTCCCTCTTTCTCTC